TATGTGTAGCACGAGGTAGGCATGTGTCGAGGTAAAATGAAGATTTCCAACCACTCGTTTAGGGGTATTTTAGACCTCCTTAGAGATAAGCGAACTCAATAATTCTAGCAACTATCTAAGGGTATTTTAGTAAATTCCACAAACCATATAGGGCATTTTGGTCATTTTCAATGATCTTCCGGTTAGTTTCAATCTTTTTTCTTATTTTTCAACTATTTTGAGCATTTTATAAATGATTGATTGATTATGAAAATGATTGAAGTGTGATGACTCACCGATGTGCGTTAAACTTGAGTTAAAGACCATGGGATATGTCGAGGTGAAATAAGACTATGATCAATACTCGCGATGACGTTGAACGGATGGGAATGGCTTTTAATTTTAAGGACTATTCGGAACAAGTTTTAGTCCTAGTGTGATGCTTATTAAGTGATTGTCCTTATGCGATTAAAATTGATTGTTAATACGATCTTTGAATATGAAAGTGTTAATTGATAGATTTTAAATCATGTCAATTTATTGAAAATGATTTTGTGATATTGTTGCTTGCTATGTTTTTGTTTGTTGTCAAACGATTTTTTAAACATGATTCGTGATGTCATTATTGGCTTATTTTTAAATCATGTCAATTTATTGATAGATTTATTGGCTTATTTTTAAACATTATTGGTTTATTTTCATTATTGCTTGAATATGAAAATGTTAATTGATAGATTTTAAATCATGTCAATTTATTGAAAATGATTTTGTGATATTGTTGCTTGCTATGTTTTTGTTTGTTGTCAAACGATTTTTTAAACATGATTCGTGATGTCATTATTGGCTTATTTTTCATTCTTTGTCGAACGATTTATAAAAAAAATGATTTGTGATGTTGTTGTCGGCTTGATTTTCATTTGTTATCGAATGATTTAGTTTAAATAATTTTTGTGATGCGATTATCGGCTTTGTTTTCATTTTTTATCTAATGAATTTTTTAAAAATGACTTGTGATGACATTATCGGCTTGTTTTATTGTTGAGCGATTCTTAAAAATGTTTTTGTTATGTCATTGTTGATCTGTTTTTCATTCATTGTTGAATAATTTATAAAAATATTTTGCAATATCATTGTTGGTTTGCCTCCCACTAGTTGTGGATATATTTTTGATTTTATGATTTGCAAACCATTGCGGGTTCTCCTCCTACTCGTTGCGAAGAATTTTGATTTTAAGATTTGCAATGCTATTGTCTCGTTTGCCTCCCACTTTTTGCGAAGATATTTTTTATTTTAAGATTTGCAATGCCGTTGTTTGTTTGCCTCCCACATGTTGTTGAACAATTTTTTATTTTATAATTTATGATATTGTTATCCGTTCGCTTCCCACTTGTTGTGGAAATTTTTGCTTTTATAATTTATCTTATTGTTTTTGGTTTGTGCCTACTTGCTATGAAGTAGAATCTTATTTGTTTTCAAAATCATTGACGACTTAATTTTGTTAGTTGTTGAGTAGAGTCTTCAAAACCTACACTATCTTATCTCAAAATGAGGATAAAGCATGTGATGATAATATTGAAAAAGTGAAAATAGAGTGAGAAAAGAAATGGAGAAGACATAATAATAGATCATGGAAAATACAAGTAAATCTGATTTTGATATTAAATTATTTTTTTCTTTTCAATCTATAAAAAATAGCATACTTAGCATGTTCAACTTTGGTTTTTATTAAAACAAAATTAAATGAACTGTTTTATATATAAAAAAAATTATCGATTCAATTTTAAGTGAACTTGACTTCGTATTTTTCTTTTCTAATTGAATTTACTTTCAAAATAAAATTTTTATATATATCTTTAAAATAAAAAAGGAAAAATGATGTAGATCAAAAGAAAAGAAAAAGTTTGAATTTCCTTATGGAAATGGCCAGAGAGATGGATTTAATCTTACATGTGAAAGCTAGCCGATATCAATCAACCATTAAAAGGAAAAATGATTAAAAAGAAAAAAAATGTAATGACATAATTTAACTTTAAATTATTGAAGTTTTGGAAAAATAAAATTTATATCACCAATTTAAACTTTATGGACCTCAAAATATTATTTTTTAAAACAAATTTGATCCTTTCCTCTTATGTCTAACAGTCAAAGTGTTAACTTCATTTTAAACATTTTAATTTTTCGATTCTTTTTTGAGAATTAAAATTAATTTCGAAAAACAATATTAAATTTTTTTTCCTTTTACTAGATTGGTCTGGTCCATTACAAATCATTAATTGTAATACCCAAAAACTTTTCATGATAATATATTATCCGTATATGTGTACAAATGTGTTTTATTTTTGTATTCAATTTAATATTTTTATGTGTTTAGAGGATGTGATGATTAGGTATAGAGTTTTAGGATATAATATATATTTTTGGATATTATAGATTGTATTTTTATAGATAGAAACTAGTCTTACAATCTTAGCCTAAGCTATTAGGAATTAAAGAATTAAAATAGGAATAATAATAATAGATAAAATAATAATAATAATAATAATTAAAAATAATAATAAAATAATATTAGGTTTTAATAGTTTTTTTTTTTTTAATAGAATGTTAATGACTATGAAAGGAGAGCAAAAGTTTTGAAACATTTATTAAAATTAAAGAGGAGACATGAATGACCATAAAATAAAAGAAAGTCATAATAAAATAAGAAGGTTAGTGATCATGAAAGAAAAAAAGTCTCTTAGCCTAAGCTATTAGAATTAAAGAATTAAAATAGGAATATTAATAATAATGAAATAATAATAAGTTTCAATAAAAAAATTTTAATGGAATGTTAATTGATATGAAAGGAGAGCAAAAGTTTTAAAACATTTATTATAATTAAAGAGGAGACATGAATGATGATGAAATAAAAGAAAGTGGTCATAAAAAAAAAAGTTAGTAGTCATGAAAGAAAAGAAGGTGACCACGAAAGAAAGAAGAAAATTAATGATATTTTATTATTTTTAATTTATGCACTTACAATTCTCAAATGTTTCAACTTCTCATGCCAATATATATGGTGTCATTCTCCTCATTTAGGAAATGCCATTTCATAAGCTTATACTTCAAGAGAGAGAGAGAATATAATTGAGTAAGAAGTGAAGTCAAAGGTATTTGGAAGAAGATTCAAGTTTTGATGATTAAATATTCAAGGCAAGAAAAATATTTAATTTAATTATTTGTTTTTATATAATTTTAGGTACAATTGAGTTGGAAATTTTATGATTTAGGATTGATTATGTAAAAATTATATTTTAGTATTAAAATCTTAAATTTTTAGAGAATATTTGATGAGTAAGTGCATTTGAATAAGAATTAAAAAGGTTAAGTTAAAAATTAATAAAATTATATTATATGAATATAATTGAAGGAGAACGAGAATAAATTAGAGTAGAGTTGATGATTTAATTAGGGTTTTTAATTTAAAAGAAATTACAAGAAAAGAACATAAATTAATAAAAATTAAATTATTAGAGACAAAATAATAAAATTCAATTTCTTATATTACATAGTGTGTATGTTCAAGGTATCGAATTAAATCAAGATATCGATTTTTAGAAAAAAGTTACGATAAATAATGGTCTTAACCGAACGAAGTAAGTGTAACTCACCTACACCATGGATATAAATACTATGTGTTTTTATGTGATTGATGTGATGTGATGATTTTTAGGTACATGTATATGTTTTACATGTTGAATGAAAGAAGATGTTTTAAGTAAATGAATGATGTTATTTTTTTAATGCATATTGAGGTTTAAAGATTGAGGTTGTTTATCGAGGCATAAGCGTTGAGGTTTAAAAGTTGAGGTTTGACTATTAAATGTTAAGGTTAATGTTTTTATGCATGTTTTTATTGAGGCTAAACCTTGCTAATTGATGTAAGTATCTTTTAACGGACCCAAATGAGGAAAATGTTTTTGAAGACATTCATGTACAAGGAGTTTTAATGTAAAAGCATGCATGTTACACTTATTGGGATATTCGTATCTCATATTTATTATGTGATGTAAATAATGATGCAAATGTTGAGGATGTTGATACTACTCTCAATGACCAGTGACTCATGTGCTCCCTTTGCATGTACTTAATGATTAGGTTATGGTTATGGTTATGGTTATGATTTAAATAAACCTTTATTTTTAAAATGACAAATGTAAGGACGTTAACCTTATGAATGTTGAGAATTTTTACTTAGAATTTGAGTATGAATATTGAGACAAGATTATTTATGAATATTAATTATAGTGAGAAATGTTTTTATAAATTATGAAAAATTAGAATAACGCTTCCATTATGTTAATGAAAAAATTTATTGTTATATATTATTAATTGACATATTTAAAGATAAATAAGATTAAATTAAAAACTTAATTTTAAAAAAACTAAAAGGATATAGGTTTTAGTATCGAGCCATCCGGTCTTGACCCTTCAAGTGAGGTGTCTCGATCGACGGACATTACATTAATTATCTAACAATAAAACTAAAATCCATCAACAAAATCATTTATGCTTTTTTAAAACTAACTATTATTAAATTATTTTTTCACATTAATTTTAATCCAAAAAAAAAAACCAAAATGTTTTAAGCATCTAAGTTAATGGTTAATATTTTAACCGTTAGATATAATGAAAAAAAAAATTGCTTAAAAATCAACAATTTAAAATTCAAATAATCCAAATTGATAGTATAAATTTTATTTTGCTACAACTCCGTTACTTTGCCATTAAAAAGATAAAAAGAAAAAAAAAGACTTTTTGGAAAACATTTTCCATTAATTTGCCTTTGGTGGCAATGTGAAAAATAAAGAAAGTGCTCAATTCAAAATTTTTGTTTCTATGCACAACTATTCTCTAAGATTCTGAAACAAAAGATTTTCATTGCTGCAGAAAAATGAAGAAATAAATATACACGAAAGACAAGCCTTTTGATCCTTAAGCAGGTTAGGAGGTTCTTTGGCAATGGAATTTCTGGATGATGTAGTTTAGGAAACCAAATACTGCCTCAACTGTTTGGTTCTATTCTTGTTCTTTAGCTTTCGGAATGCGCTCAGCTCAATTTGCCGAATTCTTTCTCTACTGACACCCATCAACTCCCCAATCTCCTGCAACGTTTTCATCCTTCCATCCTCCATTCCAAATCTCCATCTGATGACCTGATTCTCTCTTGGACTTAGACTTTCCAGAACTTTCTCCAGGTCCTTTTTCATAAATTCCTTCATTAACAGATCTTCTGCTGTTTCTGCTTCAGGATCAGCAGTCACTTCCTGGGGAATAAGATGCACAAAATTTTCAGCAAAACAAGCTAAAAGATGCAATTGCGACTGCAAAAGTTTTGACAAAAGGTGCAAACCCAAGAGTGCATTAGAAAAGGAATGATACGGACCGAAAGTTTAAGATCCATGTTAAACCCCATCTTCTGGTCAAGAGATCTTGGGGCTTTTGGAGTTAGTAGTACAGCACTGAGCCTCTTCATAGAGAGCCCAGTTGCCTCTGCAACTTCTTTATCATCAGGATGTCTTCCATTTTCACTATACAATTGTTTTCTAGCCTCCTTCACTCTATAAGTTGCATCCACCATGTGAAACTGTAAACTCGAAATATTGAAACGAAAATGTTAGAAAATGATATATTTAGTAGACATAAGCTAAAGAGTTGTTCCCAAAAAGCATACAACTAGTAACTCATGTTTACATCACATTTCCAAAAGGTAAATTGTTTAAGCTAAGAGAAAGGACAACTAAGAGTTGAAGCAGAACTTACTGGTAAGCGAATTGTTCTAGACCGATCTGAGAGAGACTTGCGGACTGCCTGTTTAATCCACCAGTGAGCATATGTTGAGAATTTGAAACCTTTTGAGGCATCAAACTTCTCTGCACCTCGTACTAGTCCTCGGCATCCTTCCTGCAAGTAAAATAATAAGTTTTTGGCATTTCAATCATAAACCCTATTACAAGTTTCAATTTTCATTTTCTTCTTTCTTAATTATTTCTATTTAGTTGGGACATTATGATGTAGTTGGAATATTACAGAAGGAACTACATTGACCCGGGCATTTGGAGATATGAAGGTGTGGAAGCATATTGTGTTTTCTGGCTTATACTTCTTGGCAGCATCTCGCATTGGGATCTAGAAATATTTTGAAGAATGTACAGGAAAGCCCTCTGACCCTGTTTAGTTTTATACAAGGCAGTACACACCTGAACAAGATCTTGGAGATTCATCCCAGCACCCTGATAATTTTTGGCAATTGAAATAACAAGCCGGATGTTGGATTTTATCATTTTGTCTTTGCAAAGGATACCATAGTTTAAGCGCTTCCTCAAAGTTAACTGATCAACTCCAACAGCAGCAGCCCACTGCACAAAGCTGGGCTCGCCTCCAAATCGCTCCTTCAGCTCCTCCTCAATCCTTTCAAGTTTTAGTAGGTCCTGAATGACATTAAAAAAAAAAAAAAAGAGAGAGAGACATCAGATATATGACAAGATTGAATAAAAAGTATACATCTGCATGAAGATTTGAATTGACATCCAACAACTACCTTGCTTATCTCTGATTATACAAATTTCAACACTTATGTCTCCACTTTCTCACAAATGGTCACATAATTCTAATTTTTTTTTTTTTGGTTATGCATGAACGAAAAGTTTTTTCCAATTATCTGTAGCATAAAAACTCATCGAAGACCCAGTGCGCAGACATACTGTCAAGTACAAAAAATAGCAAGGGATTTTTTTTTTTTTCCAATTTCAAAAAACCAACGAACAATATGAGTCCCTGTCTTCACATCTAGGATAATTTCCCTCCCTTCTACCAGGTCATTCAAAGCCTTACAAATATCAGCTAACATCAAACCCAGGGGTGAAATGGCTTTAAACTACTGGAAGATTGTATATGCAGGTGAGCATTTCATGTGATGCCTGCACATCACAAGCTCAAAACAGGCCAGACCAAATTTCTGAAATCCCAGTAATATTCATTCCCATAAAAATATATGTTAGTGTTTGTCATCTGGAATATATCAAAGAAGCTTTCTTAAACCCCCACCCACCCACACTCCACCACCACACACCCCCCCGCAGCCCAAAAAAAAAAAAAAGATCAAAAAGAAAAGAAAAGAAACACTGTTCTTTAAATAACTTGTTATTGGTTATTCATAATCAGACCTGTATTCCTTCTGACAACTCCACTTCTTCAGTAGCACTAAGAAGCTTGGAAGAGCTGCTGGCTCCTCTAAAAAAACGCAATGGATCAGAATGGTCTACTTCTTGCAAGGGCACACGCTTTTTCTTGCTGGTAGAACCAGACTTCACGGACACAACATTTGCAGCAGCCTTTTCAGCTGCTCTTGCTCGTCTAGTTTTTCTTTCTGTTTGGCGCTTTGATCGCACAGCTATACCCTCTGAAAGCTGTTTCTGCAAAAGTGCAAGTTCTTCATGTGTTGGTTCTAAACAATCGGATTCTTTGGTAGGGTATTGCATGGAATATTCTTCTCTTAGTCCAGTTTCAGCTGACACAGAATCTCCTATTATATCAGCTCGTTCTTTTTCTGTAAGCAGAGACCACATTGATGAAAAGGAATCTGCCGTAGTTGAAATTGGACTTTTAGTTTCTTTTTTCACAGAACAGTAATTTTGAGCCATTTCAGCTGCATCTTTCGCAACCTTGACAGCAGCTCTTGCAAGAGCAACTGCTTCAGCAGAAGCTGCAGCAATTACAGCCTCGTCATTTGCGATAAGTGTTTCTGCCGCTAAACTAGTTCCAAGGGATGGCTGCACACATATCAAAGTAGAGAATAGATAAATTTCCATACAATACAGGCAGTCAATAGATTATATCAAAAACAGACTGACTGCAGCAACTACGATATTGTAAATTTGATAGCAGAATCAACCAAAAGAGAAGAGCATCAATAACTTTAAATACAAAAGAAATCAATATAATTTGAAAATCTGATTAACGAGGCCTTAGATGCATGACAGGTAATTTTCTGAAAGTGATTTGATTAGCAATAGAACAAAAAAGCATCTAGGGAGCTTACAATTAACTTAGTAGACCTAAATTTGAGAAATTAAGGTCAGATGATAGAAACACTATTTATTTAATGAAATGAAAACTCTATGCAATGACCAAAACAATGCACTAAAAACTGTTCACAAGCCGCCCACATCACACACACACACATTTTAGGCCTAGTTGCAGTAACATCCCCAACAGAGCAAGTCTAACCTCTTTGGGTGGAATGATTCCCCCTATATATGTCCATGGTCTATTTGCAGCAATTGAATCTGAATGGGGTTCTAAAGAAGGCAATCTCAGCTTCTCCAGATCAAGCACTGCAGTTGATGTTGATGGTGATGCATGGGACAGAATGCATTGTGCTCGGAAACAAAATGAATCCCTATTCTTTGCTGCCAATTTCAACAAAGCAATCATGAAAAAACAATAAAAATAAGTTCTATGCCTTTAAATCATTAATACATAAAAATCAATAGTTCCAGAAATGACTGCACTTTATACAATAATCATGTTCCAGATAATCTTGACAAATATAAGCTGTCAAGTGAATGTGATTATGCACAAAAGTATAGCAAGTTAACAACCGTCTAGAATCAATATTCTATATGGATGCAACAACTGAAACCAGGTACACAGATTCAAACAAGTGGTAATACCACCCTCATACAAACTACACTTCCAAAAAGTTAAACGAGAAAAATGCCTAGTAGATAAACCGCAAAACAGTAAGCAAGGAAATTAAACAGCAAGCACACTAAGTTTTTCTCAAACCATAACCATATATTACAAATATTTGACGACTTCATGTGGCCAAGGGAATACTACTAGAATTCGTGTCAATTTTACATTGGTTTGGATTTTCTAATCTGGAGTTCTTGTGAATATAATCCTATCACTACTCCTTAATTGAGAACTATGATGTTCTGGAAAAGGAGGTACGTTAAGGTAATACGTTGGTTCTGGATCAAAGAGATTCCTCCCCTGTAGAAAAGAAAGGCTGCTATTGTGGAAAGCAAATTCAAGAAAGGCGAAGCAAAAATGGCTGATTCCTCTGAAGAACGAGACTTTGAAACTGTGCCACTGGGAAAGCAACTAGTTTCAGCAGGAATGATTCAACTTAAAATGTTATAGAGACTATCTGTATGCTGATAGTTGCTTCCTCATTGTTAAGTGAAGCATCAGAAGAGTAGTAAATTAGATCCTGAATGGTTGGGAAAGACCATTGAATGAGAGGTAACACATGGGAGTAACATAATTCTTGGAGCAACAGCAGATGCAAGCTTCTAGATGGGCAACCTCTTAAGAAATTGGCTGACAACATGATACTTAGATTATGCAAATCTGAGGTGGAAGATAATAAGCAGCACAAGTCTGTAATAAGTCATCAAACCTTGTAAAGGGTAATCCAAAGATGTTATGATGATTCTAAAATCAATGATAGAAGGGAGATTAAAGAAGATAATTCAACAGTAGAAAAAAATTAGTTACATTTAGAGAAATTTGTCTCAAGTTCCCATCTAGCATTTCATTTTGTTTATTTCCAAGTTTTCCTTATGGGAAAAAAATGTTTGTAGCGCTATTTCTTGTGCAAAAAGAAAACTAGATTTGCCCCTGAAAAAGTGGTCAGTTGCATGAGTTTGTTTGCTTTTGCCCCAGTCAAGGTTCTGCTATGAGAAAAGGGGGATAATGTAATGGTAATGGCCCATATTAAAGAGAGAGGAGAATCTGTTCCAGTGAAGAACAATATGTCTTGAATATGGTGCTGGCACAACAGGAACACTGGAGACCCCACAAAACCAAATTCATTGTCCTAAGGTCTAAGTCATCTCGATATTGTCTTGCAGTAATCAATATTGGGGATAAGAAGCGAGCTCACTTTGAAGAATTCCCATATCTTGAAATTCTCAGGAACTCGGTAACTAAATTACTCCAAGAGACATCACTAGAACATCAGCAAGACTATTTGGCAAACAATTTGTTTTGGCACAATGTTACAAATTGAAAAGAATTGTAATTGAAAAAGAAATCCTGATCAGACCTAGACATCTTTCCCTTTCTTTTAGTAGATATTTTAAATTTTGCTGCAGATCTAGCATAGAAAGTAAGTTAAAGTTAAAATATTTCTTTCTAATACTAGGAATAGAGAATAATGTATTTATACAAATTGGTGAAAGCAGGAATGGTGAAACAGAATAACTGTAAATACCTCCAAAGAAAACCAGAACACACCCATCTCAGTTCTAGCTGAAACAAAGGCATGTATTGAGGATGCCAATCAAGCTACTTATAACACCAAAACAAACACACGTCAATTCTTATTGAAACAAAAATGTCTAACATACATAAAACTCAAAATCCACCAATTTCAGTTCTGGTATCAAACTAAGCATTTGTCATAAGATGTCAACGGAAAGAACAAAAACATAATCTTCCAAAAATTATTATTGAAACCAAGACTTCCAATGCTCAATGGCATTCAAAACACAAAAAAACAAACAAGATATCCATTTCAATTACGATTGAAACAAAAGCATTCAGAATTGCTTTATGGTCAAAACAAAGAAATACCCAGTTCTAGTATGGCCAAAACAAAGGCATTTATGATAAAATATATATATATAAAATACAATAATAAAGAAAACAAACAAAACCCATTTGAATTCTATCTGAAAGCAAGGCATTGGTGAGTCAAGAACGAAGAAAAAAGAAAAAAAAATGCAAGAGAGCAACTCACAGAGTTGGGTATGGTTGGTGCCGTGATGTTGGAGATTTCTAAAGTGAACAGAGAAGGTGTCTGGTTGGCACTTGAACTGTGGCAGTAAACAAGACATCCTGTGCTACCTAGTGCCCACTGTAATTATTATTGTTACTGAATCTTTCTTTTATCATTTAATTCAATTCAGTGTTTATTCTATAAAGAAATATTCCATGAGAGAAGAGTCTTCTTCTCTGTTTTATGTCGAAGTTTTGGACTTTAAACAGAGAGACGGAGAGAGAGGTGGGGTGTTATTTGTTGGTGATAACATGAAAGGATAAGGGGAGAGAGGCTTCCTGTCTGTGCCTGCGGACGAGAGAGAGACAGACAGTCCAATTTTGTTTATTTATACTTGTGCTTTCCGAATGTTATTTTATGTTTTGAAAAGAAAATCCTAATAACATATTAATTAACCTCACTTAATAAATCTATAAAAAAAATTAAAATTTTGGGATGATCCGATGAATAAAAAAAAAAAAAATCTTACATACATAATTGCAACGTGTCAAGCAAAAGTTTGGAAAACAAAATATTTTTAATTTTTTTTATGAATATAAAATCAAATTCGAGCTTAAGAAAATACTAGTTAGATACCCCGTGCTACTACTACGGTCGGACAACCATTATATATACATGATTAACGATTCGTATGGTATGATGTGAGTAGATGTTTTGTTTACGAAGATTAATGTAAATCGAATCTATATATTAGTGAACTTATTTGATTTATATATATTTTTTAACAAAAAATTATATTTGAATAATTAATAGGTTCTTTCAAAATATTAATTAAATTATTTTATTTAAGAATAAAAATTTTAAAATATGAAAAAATAAAAAATAAATAATTGATATTATGTATGTAGATATAATTAATTTCTAACAAAACTATATAAATCGTACTTAGCAAATTTAGAGTATATAAAATAAATAAATAAATAAAACCACCTAAATCGCATGGAATATATCGAAGTAAATAGATTTAAATACAAACTATTATAAATTTGGTTTCGATAAATTCGATAATATATATATATATATATATATATAATCAAATAAAACCAATGAATTTTTTTAACTAATTATTAATTTAAAAACAAATTGAGCCGAATTATTTTTTTAAGCGATTGTTAGTTTTTAAAAAAATTAAGTCAAATTATCTAAAACATATTTTTAGCTCTCTCTATCTCTCTCTCCCTTATCGGAATTTATATATGACAAAACTATACACACACACACGCATCGTACTTAGCGAGAATATATAAAATAAATAAATAAATATAAAAAATCACACTTAAATTACATGGAATATATCGAAGTGAATATATTTAAATAAAAACTACTATAAAATTGGTTTCGATAAATTTTGATTATATAAATATATAACCAAATAAAACCCGGAAATTTTTTTAACTAATTATTAATTTTTTAAAAAAACAAGTCAAACTATTTTTTAAGCGATTGTTATTTTTTAAAAAAAAAACATTAAGTCAAATTATCTAAAATAAACTTTTAGCTCTCTCTCTCTCTCTCTCTCTCTCATCGGAATTTATATATGCAATAACGTCATTTTCATTTAAAAATCATAAAAAATAATCAATCATATAAATTATAATAACATATTTTAAAAAATAAAAAAAATCTTGTTCTAAAATTTTATTTCAAAAGCCATATATAAAAAAATCAAATTTATTAACAAATAAAATTATATAAAATTTAAAAATTAATTTGATGAGAATTTTAATAAGAAACAAACAATTGAAAAAAATAAATTTTAAATCATAAAAATAATATAACGAGATATATATGTTCAAACTAAAATCTTAAAAAATATCATATATATTCTATTACTGCCAAACTTTATGTAAAATTAAAAAAATAATGATTTTTTATATTTTTACTTCTAATTTCATGATAATAAAATGTAAAAATAAATTATTTATAATGAAGGAATGGTTCCAATGACCTGACCCTAAAAGAGGGGGGGAAGGAAACACTACGGTGAATAAACAACCTTAAAAAAGACAAAAAAGAGAAAAAAGGAGGAATGCTACGGTGAAGGAACGAGTTCCGACGACCAGGTCCTTTAAAATAAAAAAAGATACTTGCTACGGTGAATGAACAATCCCACCCCGGATCTTTTAGTTTTTTTATAAGTACGAATACCCTACATTACGTACTTTATCCACTTAAATCAAGAGTTTTTTTAAAAAAAAAAACAATATACTTTTAATCTATTCTCCTCTTTAAACTAGATGCTTTTTAATATATTCTCCAAAACATGTAGTTTTTACCATGGAGGTATTCAAGTTATTTTCTTCTTTACGGACTAAATTGAAATATTTGAATATTAGAAGGATCAAATATTTCCGACCTCTAAGAGCAAGTAACGGCATAAATCAGGGAAATTGATAACAAATGGGTAAAATAGATGTAAACATAAATCATGGAAGTTCATGCTTTTTTCACCTAAGATTATAGATGATGGCACCATAAAACTAAATAAAATATAAATTAATTTAAAATTGTTGAGTTTGAGAAAATTGAGTTGCGAAATTTGAATAAGAAAACAAAATATTACAGTGGTTAATTGCAATCCTCAAGTTGATTATTGGATTTTGATAATTCATCTCTAGGATTTAACTTTACACCTAAGGAATCGTAGATGGCGCTCCTGCAAAGTGCTAGTCTTTTAATTATCCAATTTGAATTCCCTCCAAATCATCCAATTGAAGATCTTTACAAGAGGTCTACTTATAGAATACTTCTTCTTTTCTTTCTTTTTAATATGGAATAACCATCCCACTTTAAAACACTCTCTTCACCTAACTTAACTTATTATCTATCCGGATCATGTTTTTTCAACAAAAATAACCTATTAAACTTCATGTTCGTCAACTAAAATTTATTGCAAATAACCTACGATTTGGAAATTAAATTGTTTCCAAGAAGATCACAAAAACATTTGTTGTCCATAAGTTTTTTTTTGGGTAGTTTTTGTATCAATCAAAACTAAATTCATCATTTTTTTGACTAAACTAGTGTCGGAACATGTTTAATTTTTGATCGACCATCGAACTAATTCTTAGACCAAATGAATCCAAGCATGATAACACTAAAAAATAATTATAATTAGTTATCTCGTGAATAAAGAGAATTGAATATTGGTCTTGAACAAATAAAAAAAATCATCTTACCGTTAGATCACATCCCTTGCTGGTAAACCTCTTAATTCTTGAGTGATTGTTTCTTGATCTAATAAAAAAAATTACTACTGGTATCATTCATGTGTTATGCTAGTAAAAAAAACCTATGTGAAAGAGCAAGGAACACCAATATTTGTGTGTTGAACTTGGAAGCTTGCCATGATTGTTTTCGCACTATAACAATAAAAATATTGTAAAAACAAATATTTATTCAACAATTATGAACTACCAAAAAAAAAAGAAAAGGAACTGTTATAAAACAGAAATAAAAAGGCTATAGTGATGGATAAAAAAGAAAAGGATGAAACTGATTTTTTTCCTTTATTTTTATAATAATAAAAATTAAAATAATGCTGGCGCCATATGTGTTTACATGGCACTACATTGATTTGAGAATAAAGATTTTAAAATGTTCTATTTGAAAAGAAAAGAAAAGAAAAACTCCTTGATTAATAATTATTTATTAAAGTTAATATGATTTTCATTTCAATCTTAATATATTGTTTCTATTTGCGTAAATCACTCTAGTGATATCAACTTTAATATGACTGTCAATCAATTTATGTTGTTCAATTTAAGTAGATAGAGTACCGGAGATGTTTCTATTTAAATATAGCAAAATAGAGTAAAAAGAAAAATAGCAAAGGTATCGACTACATGATAGTCAAAGTGTCAAGCTGAAGCAACTAAATATAAATTATATTTTGTTCTTGGATTAGGATCCTTTCAAATTCTTGTTTGTCATATTTTGTTGCTGGATATGGTTAACAGATGTCGTTAGAGCACTTGTTAATAGTTATTTAATACTTCAAATCAATCTTTATTTTATTTTTTAGTTATAGAATTGATTGTTGCCACTTAAAATTATTACCAAAGAAAATAACAACTATTTAATTATTATAATCAATATTATCTATTTTCATTTAAATATATGCTTTTTATTTTTAATCAAAATACAACGATAAATAAAATATAATTAATGCATCTATATAATGCTTAACGGTTGTCCTAAGGGCATAAATTAACTTCTTCTTCTTCTCTCTTTTTTTTTTTTGGTTATTTTTATAAAATCCATACTATTAAATTCAAATCGATTGGGTATGGTTTGGTACATGAGAAAAATGATAATAACTTAAAAGTAATTATAAAATTTGGTACGCAAAGAATATGAGAGGATCCAGATCATTTGTGGTGTTCTTGATTTCATGAATTCGAATCTTGAAAACACCAAAAGAAATTTATTCTTCTGAATGCAACAAGCTATTGTGAAATATACATTTTAAGATCGTTCAAATAGATAACTTAATTTTGGTTGAGAAGCTTGATGACAAAAAAATAACCTCATCCTCGCACTACAAAAAAACAAAGGATTTACGAGGAAAAACTAGTGACGGTCTCAAAACTATTGCTAATTTACTAAAATTGCGATAGTTTGAAGCACTTTAGCGAGGAAAATTAACAACGGTTTTTTAAAAAAACCGTCGCTAATTTCAATTTTTTTAAAAAATATTTTCTACAACCATTTTTGGGATGGTTTTTGTAAAAAAATCGTCGCAAATTATGAAAATTAAGGACGGTTTTTTCCAAAAAAAAACCATCGATAATTCCAATTTTTTTTTTAAAAAAATTTATGCGATCATTTTTTGCTACGGTTTTTGTAAAAAAAACCGTTACAAATCATGGAAATTAGCGATGGTTTTCTTAACCATCGGTAATTCCATTTCATGCAAATTAGCAACGAGTTTTTTTTATAAAAAAAACCGTTGCTAATTCCATTTTTTAAAAAATTTATTTCTTCTAGCATTTTTTGTGACGATTTTTTTACAAAAACCCATCCCAAAATTAGTAAATTAGCAATGGTCTAAAAACC